TTTACTATTGTACTATATTATTTAATCGTTTTATTATTATTATTATTATTATATTATACAATTTCGATATTACATTAATTAATTTTACTTTAGAATTTTTCTTTTTTTTAAGTTTTATAAAGAAAAAAAAAAAAAAAGGTACCTCCTCGCATGTTTAAACCAACATTGCACAGGATAAAACGTACGTGAAATTTTTACAACGAGTTTTCATTTCGTAATTATATTATTATTATTATTATTATTATTATTATTATTATTATTATTATTATTAACATTTCATTAAATAAAATATATATATATTTTTTTTGCCACATCATCCTTCTCTATACGTAATAAAAGGTGGGAAAAGTTTAAAAAAAATAATGACTAGGAAAACTGTTTTTGAGTACTTAAAATAAAATAAAAATCATTTTCGGTTTTAAACTAAAAAAAAAAAAAAAAAAATTCAACTTTAAAAACTCAATTAAATAATAATAATAATAATAATAATAATAAAATTATACTCAAAAATAAAATAAATAAAAAAATGGAAAGGGGCGGGGATTTTTGTGAGAAAATTTTTTTATATCGAATTGTGTTGTTTTCATTTAAAGTACCTGAATCGAATAAATAAAATCAATATAAAAGTAATAAAATTATTAATTTGATTAGTAACGATAACAATTAAAGGAAAAAAAAAACTTTTTATTATTCTCGATCATTCAAACATTCAAACACACGCACACGCATACGCACACCCACACACAAAACCTCAGCACAGTTTCTACAAATAATCAAATTTAAAACTACAAGTTATGATTTCCCCCCCCCCCATTTTTTTTCCATTTACTTTTCAAAGATATCAAATAATAATAATAATAATAACACCTGATTTCAGCCTTTTTTTTAAAATTAATTTATAGCATTTGTGATATTTTAACGGAAAAAAAACAAACAAAAGAATTTAGAACGCGAGTCTCAGACCCCCCAAAAAAAAAATGTCTGATTTTTAGGTACGAAAATGTAAATACGACAGCATTATGTAATTCAAATAATAAATTACGAAATGTGCTGCTTTGTTTTTTTTTGATTTTCACAACAGATTTCATCTGCTTCCTTCTTAACTTTTTTTTTACTGTTAATACTGAATCAAAAGTATGTCAAATTTTATTTTTAGAACAAATTTCAATTTTTGAACGGCGAACAAGAAGACGACGAAAAAAAAAAATATTTTAAATTCTAATAATCAGTTATATAATATTTTTAAAAATAATTTCAAAGGTAATTTTAATGTAGCATTTTCCAGCGCCCCCTCCCTACCCCCTCTCCCCTCACCCTCACCCTTCCACAACAAATGACAATTTTGAAAGTAAAATATAACCTTTATTTTAAACAATAATAGAACCAGAACCATTGACCACCTTGAAATTGTCAACATTTTGCCAGCCACCAACTTTTTAAATTAAAATATTAATAATAATAATAATGATAATAATAATAATAATAATAATAATAATAATGATAATAATAATGATAATAATTACAATAAACGGCATATTCATTTTTTTTTTTTTAAATTTTAAAACAAGTTTTTAAACAACTCGAATAAAATATTTATTTATTTATTTATTTATTTTTTTAAATAAAATAAATGAATAATTATTAAAAATAATAACGATTTCACGTTTTTGTTTTTGGTTTTAAGTATCGACTCCAATATCTTATCGATTATTAATCGATTTGATAAATAATTTTTTTTTTTATATAAGATGTAAAAAAGGCAATAAAAAAAAAATGTTTTCTATTTCCTAATCTATGACAATTAATAAATAATGATAAATTTACGTTTGTGATAATATTCAAATGATTACATCCGATAATTTCCCGCGTCCGGTTTTGACTGTATCTTTTATTATTATTATTATTATTGTTGTTTTAGGTGATTTAAATACGGAAATAATTTCTATCCTTTCGTTCTGTGTTAAATAATTTGAAAAAAAAAGGGGGATATAAGATGGAATTGGCATATTTACCAGATTCAACGTCAATGCACTCGTATTCAACGGAAAAAGCCTATCCCATTTGGGAAGAAAATAGTCCTAATTATAAACTCTTACGTAAGTAAAAAAAAAAAAAAAAAACGACAAAGTTTTTGTTTCAAGAGTCAATCAATGATGCGAAACGATCATATCAAAAAAATAGAAAAAAAAAATTATTAAAGTTAACCTTCGAATAAAAAAATTAAATAAAGACAAAAATTATTAAATGAATTAAACCTTAATTCAAAACCGCTTATTAATTTTTAAAATATTTTTTTTTTTTTAAATTGTGTAGACTTATTTTTTATGGCGCATAAAAACCTTGACATTGAAAATAAAAAAAAAAAAAATTATTTCCAGTTTATTGAAATTTCGCGATTTTTACTTTTATTTGCGTATAATAAAAATAAATTCATCAAGGTAAATTCATTTCAATTGGTATTACTAACAACAACAACAACACGTGACTCAACATAAATAAATAAATAAAACACGCGTAATTTATAAAAAAAAAAAAAAAAAATTTTTTTTTTTTTTTCGTTACAGAAAAGCAACATGCCATTGCTCAAGAAGCTAAAATCAGCGAGAAAACTTGCAGCATTTGTCAAGAAAATAAAAAAAAAAATAATAATTTATCAAATTATATAAAAAATAAAAAGAAAGGAGGTCAAAAATCTACGACCATAAGAGAAGAAAAAGAAGAAACTCAAGAATTTACGTAAAAACACATTGAGAATGTAAATTTGTTGTTGACAAAAAAATTTAGATATATATATAAGTTATATATAAAATTCTAAACTCTATTATTGAGTTTACAAGTTGAACCTGAAAATCTTCTTTTATTATTCAACTTGTACATTTTAGCTTTAATTTTTTTTTTTTATTAATATTAAGAGTCTCTTAAATATTTTTTAAATTCAAGTTTTGTAGTTATAATAAGACACTTAGAAAATAATTAATCGAAATTGTTTATGGAATTATTTATGTCCATTAGCAATAAGGTTGAATTAATATAAAAAAAAAAAACATTCCCTAATTTAATTTAAATTAAATTATCATATTAATAATTATAGTTTTATATATGCATTAAAATTATTATAAAAATTAATGCAGTTTCTTTTTACATTTTATAATTAAGTTAATTTTTTAAGAAATATCTAGAATATAATATTTGAATTATATCTTTAAAAATTTTTTTAAACCTAAACCTTTTGTTTTTTGAAAACATTTATGGGAATGAATCGTTTTTATTATTAATCCAACCGCAATAAAAAAAAAAAAAAAACTTGAGATTACTTAAAATTAAGTTATTAGTATTCAAAAAAAAAAGAAACTTACCCTTAATAACCAAGTCAGTACCGATTCCCTGTATGGTCCAAAACTTGTGACACCCTTTTTCCGACCTTTTTCCGATAAAAACGTTATCACTTTTCCCAAGCTCAACAAAGATTTGTTGATACTTACACCTTCCTAAATTAACGTTAGATAAAAAAAATAAAACTTGGAAAATTTATTTCATTTTAATAAAGTTTAAGGAAAACCTAATTTTACCTTAAGTTTATTTCCGGTTGCACACATTTGAGCAACTCTTTCACTCCCAGCTAAATCCACTAAATTAACTTTACTTTTACATGTATTAAGTCCGTCCCTTTGCTTTTGAGTTATTGTTATACTAAATATCGAATGAGATCTTGAACTTTTTTCATTCATACCAGTTGAAGCTGTAATTCTTTGACTATTGCCAACAGTTATCCAATCCTATAATAAAGATTAGTTTTACAAAATAATTTATTCAATAAAAATATATTTTACAGATATAAGAAATTATATAATTTTTTTTAATACTTGAACATCTCTAAAAGTCTCCACACAATGTGTAGATAAGTCGACTACATAAGGTCCAAAAGTAGGATGTTCTCGAACTTTAAGACTTTTTCTTAATGAAAAATTTGAATGAGTGCCCAATAAGTCGTGAATCTTTTCATTATATATTTCAAAATAACTTATTTCAACGTGGTAATCAATGTTCTCTTGATCGCTTTCGGATATTCGTCTGAAAACTTCTTGAAAAAATCGTGGAATTATACCAGATTCTTTGCCTAATTCTCCCTGAACTCCTGAATCCACTCCCATCATACTGAAAAAAAATTTTATGAAATTGTATACCTGTTTTATGTTCCTTCATGTATAATAAAAGAGACATTTGTTAAAATAAATTAATTTAATAAAATTGAATCAATAAATCATTTCTAAGTAAATAATTTTTTAGAACCTGTAACTTTTTCCAGATCCAGTTTGTCCATAAGCTAATAAGCAAGCATTGCACCCTAAAAAAACTTGATCCATTAAAGGCAAAACCATAATATTAAAAACATCCTCTTGTGAAGCATACTGAATATTAGTACTGTCGAAAGACCAAAAGCAATGATCATATGAAAAACTGTGAATTGCCCCTGTATCACAAGTAACTTGTACTTCATCTTCTGTCATTTGCACAACATTTCTAACAGTAGAATCATTAAGTTCTCTATTTAAAAAAAAAAAATTATGAAATTATTTATTACACCCAAAAACCTTTTCTAAGAATGAAATTATAAAAAATACAGCACCTTAAACTAAATGGTCTCACTCTGACTCCAACGACAAAGTTGCTTGCCTCTTCATCTCTTTGATAACCATTACTAGTTGGAGTATTTAACTCTCCATTATTAGGAGTAGGGGAATCATTTAAACTGGAATCACTTAGGAATCTTTTTACTGAGCAGTTTGCTTGCTGAATAAAATTCCTTCTTCCTTTCGGTGATAAACTGGGAGAACATAAATGTGTAACAGGTGTACCGAAAGCTCTGTCCTTGCCTTTTACTATGTTTGAATATTTTTCAGGTATTACTGGTGTCGATTTACTCTTAAGCATAGTGCTACTTTTGGGTGTACTTAATTTTGGAGTTAAAAATACTTCAGGGGTATTTCTTTGAGCATTATTATTACCTAAAGTAGGCGTTTTAAAAACTGAATTGTCTTTTTTTTGATTACTTAGCAAACTACTAGAAATTTTCGCAGCAGATTTCAGATCCTTTTTCTTCATAACTGAGACTGCAGTTTGTTTTTTTGCACTTAAATTTGAACTCATGTTAAGTAAAGTTATTCTCTGAAAAAAAGTTAAAGTTGTTACTTCACTAAAAATGTATTTTATAAACACAAATTTTTTAAATAATTAAAGTTAAATTTTTAATAATTATGGGTATTATAAACAAAACTGATATCATTCAAAGTTTAATTGCTTATTTTTACTGTTTTAAAAATCAGAATTAGAGTAATTAAATTAAATTAAATTTATTACTGTTTACAGTTGCATTTAATTGTTATTAAAACAAATACATTTCAGACCATTTTAATAATAAAATATAAATTTGAAGAATTAAGCAATGCTTTTAAGTATTCAAAGTAAAGAAAAAAATTTTTTTTTTTTTTTTTTGAACACTACAAAATTTTATTTTAAACTTATTTGTAGAATCTTTTAGCAGTATATGTATTTTTTTTTATGATAAAAACAAATTCGAAATTACTAAAACTGACTAATTTAAAGATGCCAACAAGATAAAAAGAATTTAGTTGTTAATCTTTTTGTTATGTGCGGAATTAATACTAATAAATTTTAAAATTAAGTTTTTTTTTCAAATAATTAACTTACTTACCAAGATTTTTTTAAATTACTTACCAAAGTTAAAGCACTAAAATGGACATATTAATCAACAAATATACAATGTTAATAATAAATAAATAAATGACTTAGTTTATTAAAAGCACCAGTGTGTCAAAAAGAATAAAAATTTTAATGGCACATGGATAACAAAATTACATGGCAGGTAATATTGTACTGCGTCAGGAGGTTATACTAAACCGCGTAAAGCAATTTCTTTCGTTAAATTAACGGTTTTTTTGACTTACGTCAAATTTGACAGTTTGTTACTCTATGACATGAATTCAAAACTTGTTCTTTCCTTTATTAACTGTGTACGTTAAATTTTTTCAATGTTTAAATTTTTAAATTTAAACAAGCAAATCAAAACATTAAAATTAAAAATTAATTTAAGTGTTGTTCTGAAGCCTTATTTCAGATAAAAGGTTTCCATTTTGACTTATGATTTTTTAAAACGATCACGCTTATTCTAAGGTAAAATCGAAACAAAAGAAAATTGATTTTTTAAAGCAAGATGGTACCTATTTTATAAATAGGTAGTTTATAAAAATAGTTGTTTACAAGTTTTTTTTTAGGATTTTACAACTTTAACATGTCTTTTTGTGCTCTTCCGGTTTTTTTGGCGTTTTTATTAAATCGATGTAGTATAAGATTCTTTACGTCATGCAGATGTGTTTTAGGATTCACTCCTTTTTCAGCATCACTATTATTTGGATTATCTCTTGTAGCAATTTTAATAAAACATCCAGAATTATATCCTAGTTGGCTTAGAAGAGTTGACGTTAAAATAATGTTTTTATATGAATTATTTACTAGCATTATTTTTATTGAAATTGGTTTTTGCCTATGGAATTCAGTAGAAACGTTTATATTTTATAGAGTGCCATCATTTTTGGAAGAAGTAATTTTTTAATTTTTTTTTAATTTTCCTTATTATAGAAAAAATTTAACCTTTTAAACTTTTTGTTTTTTAAGTATTGCAGCCCACTGGGAGATTTTTATATTCAAATAGTTGAAACACAAATAGGAATTTCATTTATTTCAAATTTATTGGCTTTATTGTTATTGTTATTTACTTTGCATATAACCAGAGTGTGTAATTTCAATTTATTATTAAAGTAAGTTATAAAAGTGACATTTAAGTGATTTAAAATTAATTCATTTTTTTCAAATAATTTCATTAGTAAATTGACATATGGTAAAATTTTTAAATTGTTTTTACAAAAATAAAATATAAATTTTATAAATAATTTTAAACATTTAATTTTTTTCCAACAGAAACAACGGACTGCATAAATTTTTTGCTGATGCAGGTTTGACGTCAAAAATGTGCAGACATCGAAAAGATGTAAAAATTTGCAATGATATTGATGTAAGACCGAATCAAGGTATACAATGTTCACCGCCAACAAATTATAGATCAAATTGTCGAGAATCGAATACTCGCGGACCGAAAACTCTACGGTCAGGAAAAAAATTTTAACAAAAAATTTTTTAATTAACAATATAACAAATAAAAAAAAAAAATACAAACAAAAACTTTCTAGTTTTGACTCTTTTTTTTTTTTCTCTCTCTCTTTTGTACATAAATTTAAATAATTATTTTATCGGATTGATAACAAATATTACATTTTTTTTAAAAATAAATATTCAACAAAATGAGCATCAAATGAAAAAAAAAAAAATATATATATATATATATATATATATATATATATATTTACTACTGATTATTAATAATATATAAAAAATTTTTATTAATAAAATAAAATAAATATATTTAAAAAAAAAAATTTTGCTGTTATAAATAACATAAAATAGATTATTTATTTTACACATTTATAATAATTTACATTCGTATTATTTATTTAAAGTTTATTAACCATAAATATGGTCAACATTATTAATAAATAATATATATATATTTTTAAAAAAAAAAATTTCTTTTTTAATTTAAATAATCAGTCAGGCGTTTACAAACGATGTAATGTTTTTTTTTTTTTTTTAATATAAAAAATTTAAATAAAATTATTATTATTATTATTTTAAATTGTTTTAAATTTTTATACCCCTCTAAGTGAAAAAAAAAAAAAAAAAAAAATTTAATTTTTATGATATTAAACGTAAATTATTAAAATGATCCATTCTATTGATTATTATGTTATTAATAAAAAAAAAAAAACATAATTTAAAATGATATCAAAATATGCAAACATTATATATATAATTATTGTTTATATTCAATAATAACAATCATTATTATTATTTTATTAATAATTTCAATGCGTTTAAACATGATTGATTAAAAATATAAATTTTATTAAAATATTTTTATCTATACGCTTTCTAAATAAATAAATAAAAATTTTATTTCACTGTGATTATTATTATTATTATTATAATTTTGAGGTAACTTAAATTAATTATTTGGTGTAAAAAAAAAAAAAAAAAAAAAAATCTCAACACAATTATATGGCACACTATACTGGGGGTTTGTACAAATATAATATGGGTGTGGTTTTTTTTTAAAAAAAAAGCCCCAAATTTTTTTTTTTTATGTTAATAAATTTTGTTCGGATTATTTTTTATTTAATTTATTAATTTAATAATTTTCAAAAAAAAAAAAATTAAAAAATTTTTCGCCTTACTGGTACGAATAAATTAATAAAAAAAAAAAAAAAAAGTTTTTTTTCCAGCAGTCTTTTTTTTTTTTTTTTTTTTTTATATAAATGCCTACAGCGAGTTTTTTTTCCCCCCCCCCTCATTTTTCCCTAAAACGTTAATTCTATTATCATTATCATTATCATTTATAAGTTCTTTTTATGCGATAAACAACAACCGAATACAGTCTTTAATATTAAATGAGCTATATCAAAATATAATTTTCATTTTAATAATTCCTAAATATAATTAATTCGTTCAATTATTTGTAATTTATAGCAATTATAAAAAAAAAAAAATGTCTTCTCAGAGATAAAGTTAGAAGATTTTAAAAAAATTTTTTTTGGGGATTTCAAAAACCTAATTCTCATCATCTTCATCTACTTCTTTCTTTCTTTTTTTTTAACTAACAAAAGACATTCACAGCCTTCGGGCAAATTATTTATCATACACTTATTAATAGATTTATGTTTAATTATTATTATTATTATTATTGACTTATTACTACTAAAAGTGTTTGAAGTAACAAAACTTTCAACTACGTTGAGCAATGACGACTACTTCTCCTTCGTAGAAACCCTCTATTGTTTGCATTATTATAATTTCGATAAAAAGTTATCAGAGAAGAAGCTAAACCTAATTGAACGGGATTTTCAGGTCCTCCCGGTAATTTAACTATAAATGTGGCAACAGCTGCAGCACCGTCGGATGTGGGTTCCACGGCGACGGGTCGCACATCCTCCGAAAAACCGCCATCTTTGTTTATTTTTTTAACGAAAACGGGAGACTTCGATTGCATCCCTCGCAAATTTTTCGTCGGGATTTTATCTTCTAAATAAACGACGATTTTCGCAAACGGTCTCTTGGCTAACTGAATCATTTCGACAACTTGTCTCCTGTGAGCTCGACGTAAATCCGCCGCTTGTTTAGCTTTCCAACCTATGACGCAGAGAGCCAAAAAAAGGAAAAAACACGAGAAAAAAACGGAAAAGAAAACGAATAAATCGATGTGAAGTTGATCCTGTCGGAAAAACATTATGCCATACGTTGGAATATTTCTACGGGAGCAAGAGGTCAAACCTACGTAAAACCTGGTACTGATTAAATCGAACTTATCTTTTGGTAAAATCAAAACGAGACGATTTTTAACATTTTTCACGTGGAGAAAACTATACTTTCTACTGAATGTTATATACGTGGTTAATCCATCCGCGTCTACATCCAAACCCAGGTACATTTCCGTCGTCGAATTTAAAAGAGTCCAATTTCCGCTCGATCGAATTTTCTTTTCCGACGAATTAACCGTTATGGTTCGAGTATCGAAATTTTCTGCGGCCCAACTGGATTTCTTTTTATATTTAGGATCCCATTCCACCTGCAAAAAAAAAAAAAAATTACACAAATACACCTAAAATATAAAAAATTAACGGTGAAAAAAAAAAAAAATATCAAAGTTTACAAAATTATGTCCGTTTGTTGTATTGGATATGACAACTATCGAATCATCCCTTAAACTGAGATAAAGATCCAAATTCCCTTGAACAATATCAATATAAAGACGTATGTCCACATTCACATAACGTGGTTGTACTTGAAAAAACACGGATTGACCGGGATACAAAGGTTTCGGTTTGATTTTGCATTCTTCTGGAAAATAATTGTGTGAGAGTGGGATAATACACAAAAATTATTATTAAACTTTTTTTTTTTTTTGAACAGTTTTTTACCGAGTAATTTAGAATTTAAACAAAATTTATGATCCAAAGTCATTTGTTTATAGCACTGATGGCCCATTGTTGGAGTTCCCGAATAGGTATCTTTACATTTGGAACATTGAAGCATCCAGCATTGCTGATTGGAATTTTTACTTGCACTACTTTGGCATTCGCTTTCAGTGTTATTTGCACAATTACATTTTTCTCCTGTTATGGGATCGCATTTATCTCCGTGTCCGTGACATTCACATCTAAAAATTTATATTATAAGTATTTTTTAAAAACGAAAAAATATTGTAAAAAATTTGCATTTGGTTTTGAATTTACTTACGGTCGACAATGCTGATTTAAATCATCAGTTCCTCTAAAATATCCTTCCATGCACGTTTCACATTTTCTTCCGCTTGTTTGATTTGCGCAACGAACGCACAACGCATTCGACGTTGGACCTTCTTCCAACATGGATTTTAATTCACTTATAGATTTGTTGGCAATTAATTGCTTCCAGGAGTCATTAACGCACACATCCGTGTGCTGATGGCAATATTCAAAGCACGGAACACATTTTCCATTATTTGTTGGATCTCCGACATATAAAGGTTTACAACGCTCACATTGGGCACCCTTCGTATTGTTATGACATTTTTTGCAATCGCTTAACTTATCGGGTCCCTCACAATTTGAGTGACCGTTACATAGACACTGAATACTGCAGTTAATACCGACATAACCAAAATCACATAGGCATTTATCAGGTTTGACGCATTTACCTCGTACGCAACCTTGAGTGCAAACCGGTTTACATTCATCGGGTGATAATTCATATCCAGAACCGCACACGCATTGAAACCCTTCATCTAAGTCCTTACAAACTTCAGAAAATAAATCACATGTGTGATGATCATTTAGACATTCGTTTTCTGCTGGACAAGAATCGAAATTCCATTTAACGGATTCTAATTTAACTCCTTCGAAACTACGGTTTAGTAAAAATTGACAATTTTGATTACCGTCGTACGTCAAGAGGTGGTCTATAGTACCTTCAGTACAAAGACCCTCTCCAGAATAATTACTGATATTTGCCGAGCACCAACCGCAATGGTAATTTTTTAAACAAGTTGCACATTGATTATAGCTGGAACAAGGTTTTGGACATTGATCCGAGTTTTCCGGCTTGAGAATTAATCCGCATATGCCTCCGGCACAAAATAAAGGCTGAAAATCTGGATCGATGCAATTTTTTAAAGTTGTAGACCATCTGCAGTCGTGAGCCAGACACAAAGAGCAGTTGGTGAATTTCGAACAATGAGGATAAAAAAATGAACTTGTTTTTTCATCCGAAACAAAGGAATTATTATTTTGTTGTTTAATGCAATCCGTAGAGAGACAAGAAGAATTACCGCATTGTTCAATGTTAACTAAAGTTTCACATTTAGTATCTCCCTGGCAAGTATCATTGACTGAAATGCATCCTTCTTTCAAGCAATTTTTGCACCACTTACAGATTGGTTTTTCATTTATGTAAATTGGCCATTTTGCCATACATTGAGCACACGTGTTAAAATTTTCACAATTTCTTCGTTGAAACCATTTATGATCGCATACGACACCGTTATTTGTAATTAAAGTACCGTTATAATATCCGCAACTTTCTTTCAAAGATTTTGTGCTGGAATAACAATGACTTCTTAGACTTTTGTCGGGTCTGACGACAGAACAAAATGAACATCCTAAAAATGATCGGCAATTATCCTTTCCCTTCCACAAATTGCACAAATCGAGAGGTAAATTTATTCGAGTGACATCACTGCGCATTACATTATCAAAACCACCGACAATATAAATTGCTTCAGTTTCTAAATCGTACGTCATGGCTTGGGCGTACGTAAATGGTGGAAAAAGGCCAACTACTGGTGCTCCTTGGTACATTAATCGAATCCATTGATTGCATTCGTACGAATAAGTTAATATTAAATCAACGTTTTTAAATTTTTTTGAAAATGTTTTACCTCCGAAAATTAACATGTAATCTTTTGTCGTGATGGCTGAGTGTAAAAAACGTGCTTCGGGAAAATTTAAAATGGCCGGAGTGTATTCTTCGAAAGTCGGCAAAAGATGCCATTTTAATGTTGGGTAGTGAAATGCATACAGACGATTTGAATAAATCCTTTTGTTATCAAATTCAGAAAATAAATAGCCTCCGTAAATATAAAAACTCTCCGATATGGAATGGTATACAGTGGTGTGACCAAATATTCCTCGTGGAACTGTGCCGGAAGTATTTAGAAAATGCCAATTTTCAGTTTTCAAACTAAAATACCAGATTTTATTCAAAAAACCCTGATTTGTTCCAAATCCTCCAATTAAAAATAAATTTTCGGTTTCCACGTCTTTCATGAAAGTTAAAGTGTGGCCAGCCACAGATGGCGGAACATTTTCTGTTTTGACGTAACACCACCTCTGATGTTTTATACTAAATTTCCAAAAATCATTTAAAGTTTGATTTTCTGAACCGAAAACGGATCCTATTCCTCCGAATATATATATTTCTCTTCTTAAATTAATTATTTCAGCAGCGTGAAAATACCTGCCTTGTGGCATAGAAACGCCTCTTGTTGAATCCACCGTCACTGGTATCCAAGTATTATTTTTCGTATCGAACAATCTTATATCGTTTAGGAGACCATGTGAAAGAGAATAACCTCCGAACATCCATAGAGAACCTCTTCTATCGGTTACCAAACTGTGTCCAAAACGGGGCATTATTTTTTTTAAATGATCAAATTCGTTTGATAACTTATCAGAATTAAATAACTCGGTAAAAATAATTTGATTATTATTAATTTTAACTGAGCAATCGGAACCACCATAGCCGGCACGACAATTACAACGTCCATACCCCTAAAATACAAAATAAGAAAATTCATTCACAACAAATCTTTTATTATATAATAATAATAAAAAAAAAACTTACATAATCACAAATCCCCTGTTTTAAATGAAATGAACAATTATTGTGACATATTGGTAGCAAGCAATGTGGTCCTGCCCAACCATTTTGGCAAACGCAATCATTACCAATGCAAACGTGAGGAGCTGGACAATTATTTGGACATGATAGAATATTATACGTGGCATTAAAGCCCTCGGAATTTTTTCCTTGCTTATAAAAAACAGTCAAAACGCCTTTAATACAAAAAAAAATCGAATTAAAAATCAAGAAAATAGTAGGCCGGCTTATTATTATTGCGATTGTGCAAACCTGATTTTGTTTCAACAGTTAGTGGTAATTTATCATTTCTTTCACAAAATGTACCAAGAGCGACGTTTTGATAATTTGAAGAAATTAAGTTAGGTAAACCCTCAAAAACAAATAAACTATTATCTTGACACGAAACAGAAATATTTCCTTCCACGGTTAATTGTAATAATCTGAAAAAAAACGGAGTAATAAAAATAACATATTATTCTTTTACTAAACCATTAGTTTTAATTTATTATATTTACTAATTTCTACCCAGGATAAGATGAATTTAATATCCAAAAACATTCTTTGGGTGCTTTATGTTCGAGTCTAGATTCCCATAATTCTGTAGCGGGCCTGTAGCTTCCAAACCCTTGGGAGCGAACAACATTTAACAATCCTCGAGACTTACACTACGCAAAACAGAAATTTTTCATTTAAATCAATAGGCTGCGAATAATTTAAAATTTAAATAATTTTCAGTAATAATTTTTTTCAACCTGAGAGTAACAAAGTCCACCATTTTTTGGATTTCCATAAAAACCTTTTATACATTTTTCGCAATGATCACCTTCGGTATTGTCTTTACAAAAGCAAGTTCCCGTTTTCGAATCACAAATACCCCTTTTTGTATCTTCGTGATCATTGCATTCGCATTTTTGACACGTTTGCTGAAATGACGAATTGCGATAACTTCCCAATTTGCAAAATTGACAAAATTCACCGGCAGTCCAATGTTGGCAATGATCACACAAGCCGACTTTTTGGTCACAAGTTGAATGATTATTGCATCCGCAATCAATACTACAATCCTCTCCCGTCCATCCTAAGTTGCAAAGGCATTTATAATCAGGCTCCATGCTGCAAGTCCCGTGAATGCAATCGTTAAAGCAAGTTTTGGTACAATTATGACGACCGTCTCCAAAAAATCCTTTTTTACAAGTACAAATGTACGCTCCAAATGTATTTGTACAAATGGCATCTGGATGACAATCGTCTAATTTCAATTCGCACTCATTTACATCGGGACATTGAACGTAGGACCAATTACTTTTGGTTGAAACAAGTGTTTTATTAAAAAATTTTTCAATTGACTCTGAACAATTGCCTACAACAATAATATTTTTTAATAAATACTTTCGATCTATTTTCTACTAAATAATTTTTTTTTTTTTTTAAATTTTAATAATAAAATTAAAATAAAATATCTTTACCATTTTTTGGCTTATTAAAATCTCCTAATACGCAAACCCCTAAAATTGGATTTTCTTCCTCATAGCACCAACCACAGGATAAAAACTTTAAACAATCAGAGCAATTTAAATGCTTCGAGCAATTTTTGCACTGTTGACTTTCTAAAACAAAATCATTCTTGACTAAAGATGTTTGCGACTGAAGCAAAAAAAATTGATTTTGATCTATCCATTCGCGGCACAATCCGAATTGGTATTCAGATGTGTATATTGAAAAAGAAAAGCACTCCTAAAATAATAAATTTAGTGCCAAGTACTGCTTCTTTTTTGTCTTTTACAAAAAGCAATTCCAAATCTCAACCTTTGTAGATTCGCACCAGACACATCTGCCTTTCTCTTCCACGCATTGACTACAACTGCTTCTCAAATGGCAAGGAATGGGACACTGGTCGACATTTTGAATGGCATTCGACCCACTTCCACGTTTTGAACATTTAGCTTCCTCAACCCCCCATTCACAATAATCATTTGAAGCACAAATTTCACAAGAAATATAATTTGAACAATTGCTACAACTCGAAGGCTGCTCTGTGAGGTAACGCCAATAATTTTCTTCATTACTACAGTACTGTGACAAAAATTGAAAAAAAATTTAATTTTAAATTAAAAATTTAAAATTATTAATAATTGTTATGGTAAATTCACTCATTACCTGAAAATTGTTTAAATTTTTATTTAAACATTTTTCGCTTATATCACACCAACCGCAAAGAGAATCACTTAAGCACTGTAAACAGTTTGAATAGGAATCACAAGAACCATTGTTGTAAGGCTCTAAATATTCAAAAGTAAATACTTCGGCTATATCTTCAGTTCTATTATGCATTAGAGTCATTTTTGATTGGTGATAAAAATTAGACTTTATATTAACTGATTTTGTAGATTCGAATTCAATCAAATAACGACCAGGGTGCAAAATTACCGGCAAACCCGATGGCCAAATAGCCATTTTACATGTTGCACTTTCCGCAGAAAAATTACCAACGACTTCCTGAAATTTTCCAAAAAAAATATTCTGTCTATATGATAGCCGAAAACTATATCAAAAGTTTATAACACCAAAAATCACAATTACATTACCAAGTTTGCATAATGATAATTTGGACTCAGTCGTAATACACTGTGGGAATAACTAATACATATTTTTAATGTTTCGGTTATATTTGACCATTCATTGGGAATTCTTAAAAAACCTCTAAAACGAGCCACTAATGTTTCTTTAGAATTTTGTAAATCTGATCTTGCTGTTTTAATGTGCGAATCAAACTCCACCGAAGTTGTATTTAAAATTGTAACCTGATTGAAATTTCTATTATTATTATTATTTTTTTTTTAAAGGAACTATTAAAGGAAGAATTATAAGATAATTAAATAAAAATATAGGTAAGACTATTACAAAATCTGGTTGAGACCAATCTGTAGGATTTTTGTAACTCATATAGGTTAGTCCAGGACGATTATTTTTTATTCGACATTCATCTACAGAAGTAATTTCCGTTCCTTGAGCTCCCCACCAACCATGAATTTGTGATGAAGTGTCCTCTCTAACCCCACACACTCCATAATTATCTAAAAATATTATTCAAACAATTTTGCCCCTAATATTGTTAACTAAACATTTTAAAGAAATAATTTTATTAATACTTACCGTCTTTATGATGACAACGAGCATTTTGAACACACCAAATACAATTTTCCAATTTTAACTTTTGTGAAACCGAAAAATATTCGTTATTGTAATCTGTAGGTGTTTCTCCGTGAATAAGACAAGAATGGCAGTTCCTAAGAGAAGGGCAGAGCCCTGGGCAACTCGTTGTTTGCAAATTAGTTGTACAGTTTATTCCAAGTGTTCTACCGTAACAAGTTGCATCAGCAGAACACCAACCGCAATCCGGATTGGAGGTACATTCACGTAATGTGTGATAACGACTACAAATTAACTCGGGATCAAATAATTCTCCTTCTCTACTTGCTAGTGTTGGTGGCAGTACATAGGCCCATAAATCGCCATTAACATTTCCGTGATAACCACCTACTAATAGAAGGGTGTTACCATTTCTAGTATCAGCTGCATGAGCAAATACTCCCGTTCGTTCTTGATTTTTAAAAGCTGAAAATATTTTTTTTATAATTATAAATCATTCAAAAATTTTTATTTTTTATAGTATATAAGAATATACAAAAAAAAATTTTTTACTTTTATTATTTAAACCTAAAACATCTCGGCTAACCCAGGTATGGCATCCCAAATGATATATATACATTTTATTATCATAGCAAATTTCTTCTTTATTATGGCGGTGGGAATAGCCACCGTAAACTATAAAATAATTTCCTAGAATTACACTAGTATGAAAAGCTCTTTCTCGAGGAATGTACAAGTTGGAAGGGTGTACGCGAGGATAATGTATTTCAGACCAATATTGATTAGATATTTTGAATAAAAACATTTTATCACTGAGCTTAGACAACCTAGCAAGACCAGCCATAATGCCACCGTAAACTATCAATGAATGCATTTTTGAGTAATAAACAGTTGTGTGAGCTACCAATCTTAATTCAAATTCTCTTGCACCCCGAGGACGAATATGATTCCATTGCTCCTTTTCTAGATCTGGAATAAAATAAAACAAAAATTTCTAACTATTATAATAAAATTTGAAATAATTTAATTTAATGAACTTTAAAATGTTAACTTTAAAAAAATATGAAAAATTTATTATTTCGAGACAAAAATTTTTTTTTAATCTGAATCAAAATTACCTGAGTTTAACCTTATTGTATAAATTTCAGAAGAAAATTCACCGCCAGTCATGCTACCGCCGAATAAATATAACGTGTCATCTCCCACAAATGTTAAAGTATGACGAGTAAGTTTGGGCGGTCGCAAGTTTGAAAATTTGGCGCGAAGAGACCAATGTTTATTTGTAACATTAAAGAACCATAATTCATCCGATAAGTTACCATTTGACATTTTACCTCCATATATGACAAATCCCCCGGGGAATTTGCTTGCTGCATGACCGTAACGAGGAGAAGGAAAAGCATTTATATTTTTTGAAGTTGACTGCTCCTCAAAATTCATATTGTTTGACTCAAAAAAATTTTCTGACTTTTGTTCAATTTTTCTAGGAAAATCCCTGCAACAATGTAATAAAAATCACAAACCTTTACAACTATAAAAAAATTACTTATAATTAATGTAAGTTAATTAACTTGTTTATTTTTAGTGCCTATTTTACCTTTCACTGCTGCTGGTATTACTTAACGCATTGTGCAATGGCAATTCATTATTATATGTGGAATTAGAAGAATCAGAGAAAATTAAATTTGCGACTGGATCATTAAATTTTTTATTTTGTGCTACACCAGAGTCATTGTTCAAAAAATCTTCTACGTTTTTATTTTTTTCATAATAGTTATTATATAGAGGTTGAGTTTCTAAAAAAAAAAATTAAAAACTTTATTACTTTTAAATCAAGTCAATTTAAAAAAAATTTTAAAAATTAACAGATGTAAGAAAATTAAAAATTTTTTTACTTTTTTTTTATTTTTGTCCTTTAATTCTGATTCTTGTATGTTTTTTTTTTTTTGGGGGGGGGGGGTTATAACAAATAAAACATCATAAATTCAAATTTATAAATTTTAAATTAAAAATTATAGATATAGATATTATGAAATTAAATTTTTTTAAATAGTTAATAAACATTTTAATCAAATCCCTTACTCAAGAGATTTCCATATTGATTTTCCCAACTGCTTTTATTAAAATTATAAATACAGAGATCTCCTAAAACTCTATTTAAGTTATATCCTCCGAAAATATAAAACGAATCACTTTCTTTAACATAAACTGCTGAGTGCGCTGCTCTAGGAGAAAGACCTGTGTCAGAATTCGATATCCAATGCCAACTAAGAAAAATTTTTCAAAATAATGTATAATTATTTAACAATATTTGTAAATAATCAATAAAATTTTAAAAAATTTACCTGTTTCCTATTAAATCATTTTTGTTTAAACCACAAGTTTGGCCAGAGTATCCTTCAAAACATTGGCATTTGGTATTGATACATATACCTCTATGATATGATGAGCCACAATTATCTGGACAAATCTCAAAACTGCAATCATGTCCAGTCCAACCATTTTCACATTTGCATGTATGATTTTCACAAACACCATGATTAGTACAATTTCTTTCGCACTCAGTAATTGAAAATTCAGCTTGAAACCCTTCCAATACATAATTAGCATCACTGTACAATAGTATTAACATCTAGACAAAAATAAAAAAAAGTTACCAGTAAATTGCACATCTTCTACAAAAGATAAATTAAAATTAAATTGATAATGAGTAATTACAAAACCAGATTTAGCAGTTATTTGTTGAGGCTCTGTTTTCCCACTAAAACTTCCTAACAGTGGTGAGCTAAATGTGTCTCCATCATAAACGAATAAATAATCATAAGAACATTCAGTTCCCATAGTTTGAAAGCTAAGAGTAATAAATTTATTATTTTTTGCTGAAAATTAAAAAAAAAAAAAGTTCAATCAAAATTCAAGCAACAAAAATTTATAAAACATTTAATAAAAATGTTTTACATGGTTTTATAATGCATGGCGTAAATTTAAAAAAAAAAAAATGAAATAAGTTTATATTCCTGCAGTAAATAGTAACAACAATTTCTTTTACTACCATACAGATTATAATTTTTTTTTTTTAAATAAAAAGATATGATTTTGAAAATATTAAAATAGAGGGTACCTTCAATCAGCCATTCACAGTGTGAATCATGTGTATAGTTTGAACCTGCAGGGCCATCCGTGATAATACCCCAACTTGAGTTAAAAAACTGTCTCGATTTATCACAAGGAATTTCTTGCATGATAACATAGTGTTTAAATATAAATAATAAAAATAAAAAAAAATAAAAAAATGTTTGTCGTATTTGGCATACAATAAAGTGCAATAGCATTATTTGAATTCAATAAAACATTTAAAATAATTATTATTTAATTGTCGACCCAGTTGAATACAAAATAAACTAATTTTAATTTTTTATTTTTAAAATTAAATCGATACATTAGAAAAAATACATTTACGTGAAAACTATTTACAAAAAAGTTAATTTTTAAATAAAACTTTAATTTTGGATTTCAATGCAAATACTGAGTTTAATAAAGACATTATGTACTATAAAATAATTGATGATAGAAAATATGTTTAAAAGGATGATTATATAAAAATGAAATTTAAAATTTGGTTATTAAAAATAAACGAAATTTAAAAAAATTTTTTTAATCTATACTTAAAACACATAAGAGAAAACAATTTTGCCGACTGGTTAACGTGTCATTAGCTACGAAAACGATTGTTCGATATTCAGGAAAAAATGTATTCTGGAAACGCTAGGAATTTTATGTATATTTTTGAAGCCATCAATTTCGTTTAATGCAATCATTTTTTACTTTCTTAAAATTTATTCTTCAGTCTTTACAAAAAAATAAACAGGGAGCATTTAAAAGAGCTATAAATTTGTGAATATTATTTTATAATTTTTAGTGAATATTGACGAGTGAGGCCTGGCGCAGTATTTATATTGTTTGTATTAATATGGTCGCCATTTTATAAATAACTTTTAGTCAGAAAATTGCAAATTCAAACTTTCAAAATTCCGTTAACAATGAAACTAGTGGACCAAGTGGTCCGTAGCTTTAAAGTAGCAAAAGTATTTAGAGAAAACTCAGATAAAATAAACAGTATTGATTTTTCAGCAACTGGGGATACTCTAATTTCCTGCAGTGAAGATGATCAAATTGTCATTTATGACTGTGAGAAAGGAACACAAATGCGAACTGTAAATAGCAAAAAATACGGGGTTGATTTAATTCATTTTACACACGCTAAAAATACTGCTATTCATAGTTCTACTAAAGTGGATGACACTATCAGATACTTGTCATTACATGATAACAAATTCATTAGATATTTTCCCGGGCATACAAAGAAAGTAGTGTCATTATGTATATCTCCTGTGGAAGATACATTTTTATCTGCATCTTTAGATAAAACTTTAAGGCTGTGGGACCTCAGGTCTCCCAATTGTCAAGGGTTAATGCATTTGTCTGGTCGACCTGTTGCTGCTTATGACCCAGAAGGCTTAATTTTTGCCGCTGGAGTTAATTCAGACAGTGTAAAATTGTATGACTTAAGATCTTTTGATAAAGGTCCATTTATTACATTTAAGTTAAACCAAGAAAAGGAATGTGATTGGACAGGTTTAAAGTTTAGTAGAGATGGGAAAACAATATTAATATCAACAAACGGCTCAATTATTCGTTTAATTGATGCATTCCAAGGAACACCGTTACAAACATTTACTGGTCACTTAAATAATAAAGGAATACCAATTGAGGCATCTTTTAGTCCAGATTCACAATTTGTATTTAGTGGTTCAACTGATGGGCGTGTTCATGTTTGGAATGCTGAGACTGGTTATAAAGTTTGTGTTCTTAATGCCAATCATCCTGGACCAGTACAGTGTGTTCAATTTAATCCCAAATACATGATGCTCGCATCTGCTTGTACAAATATGGCCTTCTGGCTTCCTACTGTTAATGATTCATAACTTTTATATTGAATGAATGTTTTATAACTATAGTGGTTCATTAAAAATTACAGTTATCATTTCAGTTAAAATAATTCAAAAATTAGTAAAAAAAAAAAAGAAAAAAAAAACATTTGTTTGAAAAAATTATTGTTTGTCCTTTAAACAGGATTAAAGACTGCATTTTAAATACTACTTATTTTAAGTTTGAAATATTGTTAATATAAACTTAAAGACTTTTCTTATAGTATGGGCTAAAAATTTTTGTATTTCATTTATTTTATATTGAAAAAATAAATAAATTTACTAATTTTTTTTATTGTGACCAAAGAGCACCTAAAGTATTTTAAATTTAAATTCATTCAAATTTTATTGGAAAAAAAAAAAAAAATTTAACTTTAGGGTAAAAGTTCTTTAACTTTCCCATAAGTTTTTTTGTTATTCTTTTGGGATTTATTTTGTACTATTGTATTATTTAATTCTGTAAAAGTTTTTAATTAGTTAAAAAAAATTTTTTTTTTTTTTTTTTTTTTTTTAAATGAAAAGGGCAAAAATAAATGTCCTTTTTTATGTTTTTTTTTTTTTTTTATAAATATCATAATTTGTTTCTTTTTTTACTGTTTAAAAAGTCATTATGTATAATATTCAAATATTTTTTTTTTTTGCATTAATATTCAAAATTTGAATGTTTTATATAAAAAAAAATTCTCATTTATAATTACTGTATTAATTTTCCAATTTTGAAATTTAAAAAAAAAAAAAACTTAATTTAGCTTTAATTTGATTTTTATGTACCACAAACATAAAGTTTAATTTTTTTTTTTTTTTTTAAATTTTATAAATTGTCTTAAAAATTTATTAAATTATTAAAGATTTCTTTCAAATAAAGCTTTTTTTAATTATTTCAACCATTAAACAACAATACTAATTACTCTAAAAGAAAATTTAATTAGTGAGCATTTAAAATTTGAAATCAAAATGGCGGAAATTTTTTACTTATGTGTGAGACAACTTATTGAATATAAGTATTAACAAATTTTATAAATTATCGATAATAATTTATGCTAAACATTATCAAAATCATGTAAAATTAAAATAATTCATTATATAAAATTTTATTTTGGCCCTTTTACAAAAAAAAAAAAAAAAAAAAAAAAAACAATTTTATAATTTTTGTTTTTAAAAATGAGTTTTGTTATTTTCATTGTTTGAAAAAATTAAATTAAATACATAAATTAATTATTAAAAATTTAAATTAATTTTACACAACGTTAGTTTATTTATTCCTCGATGAAATAATTATTATTATTATTTTTTTTTTTTTTAAATTCCCGCTAAAATGATTTTTTTTTTTTTTTTTTTTTTCATTCGGAGAAAACTGCAACATTCGATCAATCAATTATTTTTGTAAACCAAAGTTATGAAATTACTGTCTATGCTTAATTTAATTGTTATTGATTTAAACCTTATCAGTCTATTTAAAAAATGTACAATTTTATAAAAACTTTATTTGGAATACCTTCAAATGACACTAATCAAGAACCTAGGTATTTATAAATATCAATAATAATTTATCATTAAATAAATTTTGTAATGTATTTCATTTGATTATGTAAAAATGAAATTTATAAAAAATTTATTTTCTCTGATGAAATTTCTTGGATAATTTTAGAAATTTTTTTTTTTTTTTCAGAACCACTGTTGTTTTAAATGAAAATAATTATGAAAATGATAGACCAAGTGAGAGGTATATTGATAATAAAGATGAAGATAATGAAAGAAATATTTTTAGGTTAGAATTTTTTAAATTTATTCACATTTATTTTTTACATAATAAAAAAATATATATTAAACCATGGGTATTTTATTTTAAATTTTTATCGCATAATAATTGACAACAGGCATTTTGATACTAATATGAGAGTGTTTGGTCCGACAATATTTGGTGATCCAGGAGAAATACATAAATATTTAGATGGATTATTCGATGAAATGCAAAAAAAAATTGATTTATTCGGATTTAATAGTCAAAACAGTATCATTTGGGATGATCAAAGTAATAATTTTTGTAAGTAATTAATTAAATAAAATGTTAGTTTTAATAAAGAAATTTGTTTTAAAATATAATTTTAAATGTGTTATTGTCTTTTATTTGTGAATTTATTTACTAATTTAAAAATTTTTTAACTTTTGCCAATTTTTTTTAGTTTCATCAAGTTCTCATGAGAATCCACAAAGTGAAACAAAATCTCTTCGTGATTCATTTTTGAAATCGGACCACAATACAAACATTAGGAAAAGGGATATAAACTTAGATAGTAATTTAATGGCTGAGGAATTTGATAATATTTTTAATAGTAGATCAGATATGTCTCAAAACATTAGTTCAATTGTTACAACACCTCAAAATTCATATTCAAAATCTGTGTATATTAGGACAATTAGGCATCCGGATGGGGTGTGTATTATGCTCTTTATGTAAATAATTAAATTTATTCGATTTAATTTTTATAATATCATAATTTTATTTTTAGTCTGTTGAAACCATTAAAAAAGTTAGCGATAACACTGGAAATGAAGAAACTACAATTACTCATGATAACAATAGTCCATACAACAAGTCTCCTAATGATTATCCACTATCCACCAGTGATGATGCTTCAAGCATTTTTAGAAAATTCTTCCCTTTTTAATTGTTTATTTTTAAAATGGAAAGGAATTAATCAAAAAAAAAAATGCTCTTTTGATTTTAATTCAAAGTAAATGAATTATTTATAAAATTTAAATAGACACTTTTAATACTATTAAAATTAAAATTTTTAAATATATATTATATATTTGATATTTTCAAATAGAAAATAATTTGTTTTATTTATTATTAATAATAATTTTAATTAAGCCGATTGAATGATATAATTTATTTTTTATTTAGCAACTTATGATTTCAAATTATTTACACGTTTTACATAATGCTATATTATTTATAAAAAGTCACTCTTGGCCAAAACCTTCAGTCTCTTCAATTGCGTAGTTAAGCTTTTCAACGAGCTGATCAAAACTTTTGTATGGAGGTAAATCCAGCCTGTTGAAACAGGTATGTGAACGAGGTAACCAAGTATCTTTTCCAACTTTTTCAATACAAAATCTTTGAGGCCCGTTGCTTCCTAAAATAAAAAAAATCAGTAATAAAATTTGGAATTAAATGTTTCCGAAACAAATAACTAGAAATAACGACTGATTTACGATAAAATCTAAAAATTATACAAACCCATGAGTTCGGCAAAACCACCTACGGGAACTCTGCAAGTTCCAGTTACAAATTGCAATAATCTTGCCCTTTTCTCATTATCAGTCTGATTTACAAACTGCCAAAACCATACAACCTATTTTTTTATAAAAAAAAAAAAAAAATCATAAATTACTAATTGAATCAGACAAAATAATTTGCAAAAAAATGTAATTCGTAAGTCATAGAAAAAAAAAAAAAAAATTACTTAAATTACAATTTATAGTAAACTGACCTGCTTGCTATTCCTCGTGTAATGTCTGTATATGGCATTCCTTTGCCAATCTTCAACGTCTATTTCCTGCATTCCGCAAAGCATTAATTCTAATTCTCTTTCATCGAAATACTTTAACCATTCTAAAGGTACTACTTCGTTAAAACCATCTAAAAAGGCTTTAGTTTGATCTTCTATTCCCCTCGTCATTCTCCATTCCGTCATTAACCTGCACAATATTACACATTACTAAAAAAATATATACAAAAAATTTTAAATTTAAATAATTCATCCGACTTTTTTTTTACCTTATGTATTCTTCCTTGTTTTCTTCGACAACTCTAATTAAATCTCCCTTTTCTTTTAATTCGTGATGTAAAATTTGTCCCAAAACTTCAAAATCAACGCTAAAAAATAATTCTAATTCGCATTCGTCCACGTTATTGTCTTTAATCCATAATAAAGAATTGTAAAATTCCGGATCAATTGATTCTATATCCTTCATAATCAATTTTTTATTTAACATTCTTTTATAAAATGGCATGGTGAACCCGGAGTAAATGAATCTTCCGTGATACAAAGCCTGTATTAATTAATTATTTTTAAATATATATATAAACATTTGGTATAATTTTAATTAATTGAAAATTCTTAATGAATTTCTTGGTACACAAAAATTAAAATTACAAACCATTGCAATAAAGCGTCCGATAAATTTAAAATATAACAAATGATCTGGATTAACGTAAGAAGCAGGATTTATTTGCAAACTATAATTATTTTTATTGGCATATTCAAATAAACAATACATCGGATTTAAAACTTCGTGAGATAAAAGGAAAAACCATTCCCTAAAAAAAAAAAAAAAAAAATAAAACGCATAATATTATTTACTTGAGAAATAACGATTTCATGATTGATTGCAATAAATTAAATGATAATTACCTAGATACACCCCCATAATCAAGTCCTTCTTCCCCTCGAAAGGTTATATACAATCTTCTCCGTAATTCGTACGGAGGAAGTCGCATTATTTGATGATAAGAGTCTTCGAAAAGAGTTTGACGTGTGACTGTTATTTTTATATGATTTAAAAGTGCATTACTCTGACAAAGATACCGAAATTGACTGAGTTTCCATTTGAAAGAACGTTCATATGCCCTCGGAACTCCATACACTCCTTTTGGTCTAAAAATCAATTTTTAAATTGTCTTGAATAAATTTCATCTTTACATAAACTACATTAATATCTTAAGATATTAATATTTATATTGTTTTTTTTAGTGTAGTGAGAAAATTTACCCTTTGGGAGCTCCCGGACGAGGATCTTGAAAAGTTGTCGTTTTGGTATTGTGATCGACAAAATATCTAATACCGTCTTCCGTTAACCTGATTTCCCATCCAGGTGGAAGTGGTGGTTCATCTTCTTGACTAAATAATATAAATAATAGTATATTAAATTATATTTACCATTAATAACTGTTAAAATATAAAAAAAATAAAATAAAAAATCTACCCTTGAGTTCTGGGATCTTCCCATTGTGTTGTTCTATTTTTATGATTTACAAAATAAACTTTTCCATCCGGTTGCATTCTTTTTTCCCAAGAAGAAGGAAGAGGACCCAATGAGTCGTCATCGTCTGCCAAAGCGCTTGGACCTGGGATATTGGTCGCAACGGACGTTGCAGAATGCTATATTTATATTGTAATAAAAATTCTATTTTTAAAAGGTATGCTTTTATTTTTTAAATGCAAGCTAAAAACTAAATAATACCGGCGAATAAAGAAACCGTTGATTTCCTTGTTGTACGACGGTGGCCCTTTCTCCCTGCCAATGTTGAAAATGCTGAAGCCTTTCTGAGTTGGGCCTTTGCCATGTTGTTGTTCTTGTATTGTGATCAAGAAAATAATTTCTTCCACGAGGATCTCTGCGAACTTCCCAACCAGCTGGCAGTGGTTGGGGCCGTTCCCAGGAAGTGCTTCTAGTATTGTGGTCGACATAATATTTCCTACCGTACATGTCATACCTCATCTCCCATCCAGCTGGTAAGGGATCGTCTGGGGCATTTAACGAAGAACGTGAATCAGGAATATGTGGACCGGGAGGAGGACCGACAATGTTTACCCCATTCGAAATATGATTTAATGTTACTAATGATGACTGTGAACTATTCGGTGCATTTTGAGGGAATGCTCGGGCCATTTCGGATGGTTCTGAAAGTAAAACATTCCATCCGAGGTTACATTCAAATTTTCTCTAATTTCCATTTCATTAACTAATTTATTGTAAGCCAACAAAACTAGTATTTTTTTTCACAAACTTAATCAACAAAAATTAAGATGAAACAAAACTGTGCAGATGATATTTTTCTGCTTAATCAATAATTTAAGTTTTACAATTGTTATTGGATGAATCCGTAAGTATTTAAATTTTTTTTTATTTTAAGGAATTATTATTGTTATAATGCGCGTAATTTTACATAAAATTTTACTATCTACGCCAAACATAACAATTATTTCATAAAATTCTAAACAAGAATAAAGAATTTTGACAAAGTATCAAAATTAAATTTTACAATTATCTTTATACTATACAAAATTTAAAATAATAATTTTACTACAAAAATTTTTTGAAATATTTTATAAAATCTTATTGTTCAAGTTTTTTAAAAAGTTTTTTTTGGGAAAAAAAATTTGCTACTATAAAAATTTTATTATTTTCAATAAAAAAATTAATATGAAATTTACTATTTTGTCATATTTAGGCCAATAACTTTGTTATTTGACTTATTAATCTCAAAATAAAAAGAAAGGTAATATTTTTTAATTAGTTTTTTTTTTAAGCTTACCAACTTGAGATGTAGATTCCATATTAGGAGTGGTATTAACAGACACATAAGGCGTATTTCCGACACGGAACTGTACAGGATAAGGTGAATTATGAGATGAATTTACTAATGGTGAAGGTAAAACAAAAACATTTCCACTTGCTGCAGGTATTGAATTTTCTGAACCAGATACTCTCATTCTTCCTCGCACACCTCCATTAAGTACACTACGATGAGATACAGTCTCTGAATTACTTTGGGCTGCAAAAAATTTAATTTTTAAATAAGAGAATGAAATTCAAAAAAATGAAAAAAAATCTTACATTTATACTCACTTAAGGGACTAGATCTAATAGCATGTTCAACCACTGTAGACTGAGTGGATTGTTGTGGAGGATAAGCTTTCATGTCTACCTTTAACCCATTCAGTAAAATAATAAGCTCTCCAACTTGTTTTGAATCATATGTTAAAACAAGGGTTAATTCTAAATTTTCACATTTTCCATTATAATGGGAAAGTACTTCAAAAAGTGAAAGGTTTTTTTCACCTATTACACTATCCCTGCGGAATGTACTTTGGTCGAGTAGTTTATAATGAAGATAAGAATATGGTGTCACAAGTCTGAAAAATATAATTAATAAATTATTAAATACCAAAATGCATAATTTAGTGAATTGCTACTAGGATAAAGCATCTTAAAATGAAAATTATCATAACATTCATAATTTTCCATTACCATATTACATTGTTTCTTTAAATGATTGTCAACATTTACTTGTCTTCTCAAGAATATTAAAAGTTTTTTTAAAAATAATAATAATGAATGTCTTTTTAACACAATTCTGTGGTCTAAAATGTTTCAATTTAAAAAAATCTAATTTAAGTAGTTTATTTTCCTCTGTGTGTATATTACTTTTATTTTTGGATATTAATAGAAAATTCATTCAAAATTTTTAGTATATAATCTTTCACAATGTCATAACCTTAAAATAAATAAACTTACACAGAAAATTCTTCGTTCCATTTAGGTTGATAAGTACATTTAACTACTTCAGTTTTTTTAGGGTATTGATTATCAACAGACAATTCAACATAAGGATTTGGTTTTAATGAAAAGCTACTTCCACTTCTCAGATGAGCACACTCAACTGTAAAAATTTAAATAAAAATATTTAAAAACTATTCAAAAATAATTTTTTAAGTTTTTTCCTTCTTTATAATTTATCAAATTATTACATAAAATAATGTCCCTTGTTTTGGAAGAGTTTAAGTTTATTACAGGAATTCAACTTACTTGTGACACTTAAAGGGTAAGAACCGAGAACAGTAGTGGAAGAAACTGTATTTGAAATAGTTGAATTACCACCTATGGCTGCCTCTGCCATTATTCTTTGAGATCCATTACATTAATGAAATGTAAGAAAAAATTATCTGACAAATAATATAAATACAAATATTAAAAAAAAAAAAACTTATTAATCATACAACTTTAGGAAAAAACTTTAGTAATATTTCAGGAGTTTTACCTTTCTAAAGTTATTATTACTTTCAGTATACAACTACGTAAATAACATCCGGTTATTTTACTCAAGTAAGATTGCATTGAAAAATTTATAAACTAATATACAAATATTTACATAAAAACATAATCCCACATTTTTAGCGCAGTAATAATAATAATAATTTACAACAAAAAGCTTTTTTCATAATTTTGATATAATAAAAATATCCTTAATTATGATGTCAACTTTTTTAAAAGAAGTACTTTCTCATATTTTAATACTCGACCAAAAGTTTAAAAGAAAAATTAAAAAATGAAGCACTATTATAAATTTTTGTATACAATAAAAGATTATAACTAATTTTTAATTTAAAAAAAAAAATTTTTTTTAAGGCTGCTGATCAATTTGCTATTATTTGACGTCATTCATTACGGCGAAAGTGATATTTACTGTTTGAATGTAAGTACAAATTTAATTACTTATTTTAAAATAAAATTTTTTTACATTTATTAAAGTATTTTTACAAAAAAAGGTAATAAGTAAATGCGTAAATTTTAAGTTATAATAAATGAACACCGTACATAGTACTGAAATTGAAACACTACAATTCTTTTGGTTATTTTGCCGCGTTTGCTACTAGAAATTTGCGCCTAATAATTTCAATTAAATATTTTTATTTCAATTTGTTTATCAATATTAATGCTCCGAAACATTAATTTTAAAAATGTCCTTGGCGTCAGTACACATGCCAGCAGACGTATACTATGCTTGTACTCTACATGCATTGTCAGTCGAAGAAGAGGAGGTTATGGGTTTATTAATTGGAAAGGTAAATTATTTAAAAAATTTTAAAATTATGAAAAATAAAAACTTATACTGGTTTTGCTGCACAGCATTCAAAAAATATTTTTATCAATCAATTTACCCTATGGTACTAATACCGAATAGATACGATTGTGATGAAAATTGGAGTGACATATTTTTAGTTTGAAGATGGAGATGCATACATAATATCTTTAATAATTCTTCAACGATCAGATAAAAGAAAGGATAGGGTTGAAATTTCAACTGAGCAATTGCATTCTGCAATGGTAAAAACTTCTGAGTTAAGTGATTCTTTAGGAGAACCAATAAACGTTTTAGGATGGTATCATTCCCATCCTCATATAACGGTTCAGCCTTCTCATGTAGATTTAAGAACTCAAGCATCCTATCAAATGATGGATAATAGATTCATAGGAGTAATATTTTCAGTATTTAATGTAGATAAAACTAAGGTAATCATTTCTACTATTATTATTATTATTAATCTCTTTTAATGTACATTGTTTGAATCAAAACATTTTAATAATAAAATAATTTTTAAAATATTATGTTTTAAACGCAGTTAAATAGCACATATTGATAATTAATTTTTTCAAAAATCTTTTAAGAAAGAACATAAGATTTTGTTTGTCGAGACTTTAAATATATATGTGAAATGAGTGATATAAAAATGATTTTTAAAGGGACAAGAAATTCAAGTTACATGTTTTCAAGCTGCGAGGCAAGGTAAAGAAGGTCCTTATGAAAAAGTTGAAGTCCCATTATTTGTAGAAGCTGTAAAAAATTTTTCTACACCATGTTCGGAATCTATATTTCAATTGCCAGAAATCATTAGCCAGGAAGATTTGACCAATTACCATGAAATAAGCAAAAGTTGTGAGAATAGTTATTTAAATAAATTACAGAATGATTCAGGTTAGAATTGCTTTTAAAAATCAAATTGCAAAGTTTACAATTTTATAAGATATATATATATATACCATTTATTTTAGCTTTTGTTATATCTCAGTGTCATATTTTAAGTGCAACTGTCAATCCTTTATTGTTAAATGCCGAAGTCAGATTTAAACATAATATATTTACCGTCAAGGACCTGAAGGAAGAAAAAGAAAAGTTATTAAAATTGTTAAAAGAAACTTCGGATGATAAAGAATCAGATTGTGAATATTAATGAGAAACTTTATGTAAAATTATAAATAAAATATTTTGTACAAAAACTAAATGCCAAATTTCATTTTTAATTTTTATATAAAAAAAAAAAAAAATTTTTACCTATCGTAATAATTTGTTTATTTTAATAAAGAATTTTTTTATATTTTATCGGTAATGAAATTTTATTAATATAATAAATTCCTTACATACTTTCATTTTTATAAGGTTATTAATAAAGTTAACTACATTGTACATTACACTATGTTTGAAAACATTAATGTATATTGTTTAAAATACTTAAATTTTACAAATTAAAATTTCTTTTTTTTTTTTAAATGTTTCATTTACTACAGGGAATTTTGTTAGTTTTCATTTTTAAAAGCTTACTAACTTATTTAATTTTTTATTTCGATAAGTTACCATCGAATAAAAAAAAAAGGTTTTTGAATATGAATTCACTTTTTTTACTTTTATATATAAAAATGCAGTTTTTAGTATTAGTTTGTATTCGAGTACTTAAGTATTAGTAAAAGCAAATGCTATTTATATTATAAAGCTCATGAAAAACATTAATATTTTCTCCATTTAAAAATTTCTTAAAAATAAATTTTAATTATATTCTCATGGGGTTTTTCTATTTATATTTAGGCTTATCAGAAATAAGGTATTTATCAACTAATGTTCTAGAAAATTAGGTGAAATAATAATAATAATGCTTCCTTTGGATATTTGCCAATCGTTGTAAGGAAGTAATAATTATAAAAGTCTAAGACCAAGGTAACAATCAACCAAAGTCTAATTTGTTTTAAATCTTATAAATTAATTTGTAAATAGCCGAAAGTAATTTCTCTCCCCTTTTGGTAAAAATTGTTTCCTGGTCGAATTAAGGTCGTGTAAAGTTTTTAATTTTATCTATTAAAAAACTTCCTCATAATTATAAATTTTTTAAGTTGCTTAGTTAGGTGAAGTAATACTCAATTGATATTTACAATTAGAATTATATAATTATAATTACACAAAAATGATGTCAAGATGTTTTATTATTTCAATGTATTAACCCTGAAAAAAATTGACAATGAGGGGATGATGGATAAGTGAGTGACATGAATTCATTTTTGTTACACCACCCAATTGATTAATTCACAATATAAATAATTATCTAATGAAAACGAACGTCCCTCAATATTTTCATTTATATATTATAATAATTTCAGTTATTTTTTTCAGTTTTGTTGTTCGTGCTGTGATATAGCAATAATTTTTTTTTTTAGTAAAATAAATAAAATCAAATGAAATAAAAGTTGATGATGATTTATATTGAAATATATATATATATTATTTATTTATTTAAATAAGTAAAATTAATAATTTATAATATATACATGAATAATTTTTAAATAAATCGCACGATATTTTAATAATTTATAATTTATTTAAAAAAAAAAAAAAATATGAGAGAATATAATTTGAAAAACGGAAACAAATCACATGAATTTGTTGTCGAATCCAATGAAGAAAAAATGGCCGAACAAAAAAATGGATTTTTTAACGGAAAATGTGGTAAGAATAATAATTTTTAATAAATAAAAATAAATATTTTATTGATAATAAATAATGTGAAACCTGTTGTTGTTGTTGTTTAAAATTAAATCAAAATTTTGTTCACAACTTATTCGTTTTTATAAATTTTATTTAATGCTTATATTTGGCGCCATTAAATAAATACGTTTGGTAAATAACGGTCAATTTTTAATTAAAATTTTTTTTTTTTTTTTTTTTTTAATAGCTCAGGGGATAAACCCGAGGTTGTTGTTTTAATATTATTATTATTTTTTTTTTTTTTACTGAAACTTTCATTCACCACAAATAATTATAAAAGAAAAAAAATATATGTATATTGTTTTATTCGTACCCAATAATAAAAAACTTGTGAAATATTATTGAATAGATAAAAAGAATTGACATTTAAATTGTAAAATTATTTACATATTTGTCAAGGGAAATTAATTAAACCTTTATTAGGCAACTTTTTTTTTTGTTTTTTGCGGTTACAACAATGGAAAAAGAATAAAAAAGAAAAAGTTGTTTATTTAACTTAATTACCGTATAAGAATTTTCAGTTAAATCTTGAAGGTAACAAAAAAAAAAAAAAAAAAAAAAAATTAACTAACGAGGGGGGATGTATTATTGCGTCACAACGGATTTATGAAAATAAAAATGATAGGCATTGAGATAAGTTAAACATGGGAACTAGTTTGTTATTTTAAAAAAATTTCTTTTTTATTAAAGCTCAAAAAAATGCGATCAACATGTTTCGCGCTGATCTGTTTCATTGCCAATCGGTTTGTCATTCTTTTCGCACAATTTTTATTTTTTTTTAATTTTATTTTTATGTTTTTCTTTATTTATCGTAGAATTTTCTTTTTTTATTTTAAATGTTTTTTTTTTTTAAAAGTAATTTAAAATATAATTAAATGTAAATAAGTTATGTATTCATTATGTTTAATTTTTAATTAATTAATTATTATTTTAATTGGGCGGTAAACTATCATAAGGATACATTTTTTTTTTTCCATTATAAGTTTTTTATTCTGCACTTAGTTGGTTTTTTTTAAATATTATTTTTGTTAAAATATAAAAATAATGAATAATCGAAATGAAGATCATAGTGTTTCAAAGGGTAAAACGATGCCTCTCACATTTAGAACGTTATCATGGTCTGAATGTAGAAACCAAGATGATATAGAAATTCCGGGAACTCCTCGGACTCCCCGGACATCCACGACTCCAGGTATGTTTTTATCTTAGTGTCCCATTTTGTTGTCAGAAAGGTCGAATTTTATTTTGTAAATTTTTTAAAATTTTTTTATTAAAAACTAAATAGTATTATACAATCAATAGTGTAAAGTAATTGATAAAATTTGCTAAACAAATTCAAATTTTTTTTTTTTAATTATTTTAAACAACCCCTAAAAAAAAAAAAAAAAAAAAAAAAAAAAAATCAGTTAAAATTTTGACATGTCATAATTATTATTATTATTATCATTATTATTATTCTTATACAAAATTTTATTGATTATAATATTAATCATTAATTAATAAATATTAAAAAATAATATAAACAGTCAAAACTTAAACACATAAATGAAAATTTTAAAGTAATAAATTATTTAACTGGTTATAGTGAAATTTTATTATTATTATTATTATTATTTTGGAAAATTAAATGTCATAAGGTGTGGGGGAAAAAAAAAATGAATTAAAAAAGAAAATATTATGAAAATTCAAAAACCTGTTTAAAAAAAAAAAAAAAAAAAAAAAATTTGCAAATTAGAATTAATGAAGAGTTCATTTCATATAAAGAATTATATAATTTTATTTTACTAATATAATTAATTGTAATGTTTAAAATATGATAATAATGATTATATATGTATATTTAATTATTAATGTTAATTTTCATTTATTTATTTTTTTTTCTCTCTCAAGTATGATTTTTATTTTATTTTTTGCAATACATAAAAATAAATTTCGAAAAAAAAAA